GGGCAGCAGGACCTGGAGCGGGACCGCGACGAGCTGCAGCAGCAGAAGGGCGCCTACCAGTGTGACCTGGAGAGGCTGCGCGCGGCCCAGAGGCAGCTGGAGCGCGACCAGGAGCAGCTGAAACGGCAGATGGAGCGCGACGCCTGTCAGGTAACCAGTGCCCAGAGCTGGGGGGGGGGGGTGTCTGCTGTCCCCGGCGCTTACGGCCTGGACACCATGACAAAATGAGGACTGTGCCTGAAGCACCAGGAGCCAGCACGCTGAGAGAGACACAGATTTTGTGTTTATTTTTACACTTATGGGGGGGCCGGTGAGGACATGAGTCTCTCCTTTTCCATGTCTGTGAGGTTGACGAGGAGAACGGAAGTGCTGGGGATTGGAGCTGAGCAGCTCTGCCCTCAGCCGTTAGGCAGAGGCTCAGCGCGGCTGAGAGAACGGGGTCAGCCAGCCGGGTTTCGGGAGCAGCCCCTGTGCTCTGTGCCACATAAGACACGCGAATGTCACCTCCCCGCCGGGAGCCTGTGTCTGAGGGGAGAGCAGCAGGATAAGGGAGCACCAGACACAGTATATGGCGCTGATGCGGGAGTTCCTGGAAGGGCCCGTGTGGTGGGCGTGAGCGTCAGGTCCAGGCCACCCAGCAGACGGAAGGCAGGCAGCACGCTCTGTGGAGAGAGATTCGTGGTGGCTGAGGCGAGGCCTTGGTCTTTCTGTAGCTGCTGCTTACGTGCGTAGCTTGCAGTTTTGCAGCACACGGACTTCTGAGTTTCTGTCCGTGAGGGTCTGTGGTTATTCTGGACACTGGGGCAGATGGAAAGCGTGGGTGTGCACACATCGCCTGCCTGTGGAGGCCTGTGTCGTGTTGCTGTGTGATTGATTGACCTTGGACTGTAAAAGACACCTTCCAGAAGGGGCAGCTTAGCTTCCTGCGGAGGCCTTCAGATATGTGGTGGGGCGCAGCAAATGGCGCTGAGCTGCTTCTGTGACCCGGGGTGCATGCCTCCCCATCTCGGTCAAAGCAGCGGGGCGTCCACGGAGGGCGGCTCCGGCACCCAGAGCACAGAGCAGCGATTACCTTCATGTCTATCTTCGGGTTAGCCTTTGACTAGAATCTTCGTACAAACTCCACCCTCCACCTGCCTCCAACCTGAAGCAGCTTCTAGATCCTCTCAGCCCCGATACAGTCCCTGACGGCCTTGTTTCTTCAGGGAGTCGGAGTTCTTTCAGAAGCTTCTACTTGACGCCGACATTAAGGGCGTGTGGTAAACGTCCTCATGGTGTCACAGTGGTATTTTTAGCGCTTTCATAGGTGCTCCGTGGGGGAGGGCAGTGAATGGAATGTGCACCTCCGGATCGTCTTACACTGGGGTCTGTGGCGCCCGGGGACGTGGGTCGCTCCGCCCGTCGACCTCAGCCGGCGACCATCGCTGGCCCCGGGGCGCTGCCCGCCCGACTCACAGCCCTTCTCTTGCCCACATGCAGGTGTCACAGCAACATGTCAAGCTGCTGAGGATCCCCTCCTTCTTGCCCAGCCCCGAGGAGTCCCCCGTGCCACCCGCACCTTCCGTAGCCAAATCAGGGTCATTGGACTCAGAACTCTCATTGTCCCCAAAAAGGAACAGCCTCTCTCGGACACAGAAAGATAAGGGGCCTTTTCACATACTGAGTTCCACCAGCCAGACCAGCAGAGCCCCGGAGGCACCGAGCCCGGCCCCGGTGTCCGCCCTCTCCTCCTCCACACGCCTGTTTGGATTAGCAAAACCCAAGGACAAGAAGGAGAAGAAGAAGAAGAGCAAAGGCGGCCGCTCTCAGGCCGGTGGTGAGTTCCGCGCCCGTCTCCCGGTGTCCGCGTTGTCCCTGCATCCTGAGGAGGGGTGGCTGTTCGTGGCGTGGGATGGGTTCGAAACGGGAGCCGTTCAGGCGTGTAAAAGCCAGGCTGTCCCTCTTCTCACCAAACCCAATTGCTCTGCCCGCCAAGCGCTGTTGGACTTGCAGTGTGACCCTAGTTCCGCAAGCGTCTCCGAGCCCAGTGGGTGGCACCTGTGTGCCGAGTAGAGCGCAGGCTTCGTGTCCAGGCATTCCCTACCCAAGTGAGGGGCGCGCACCCCCTAAAGGAAGCAGTCATGCCTTCCCCGCCTTCCCAGGCCGCATCCAGTAATTGATAGTAACTAGTGCTTGGTGAGCCTTTTCCGAGATCTGACTGAGTCCTCCAAGGGACTGGGGGAGGCGGTGCTGCCTCCAGGGGAGCTGGGAGCCTGAGCTCAGCGAGAGGAACGTGCCTGGGATTCAGTCACGCTGACCAGGCTCCGGGCTCGTGCACCCCCTTTGCCCTGAGTGTCCCTCTGTCCCTTCTCATCAGGACGGCTCTGCCTTCCGCTTCCTGACCTGTTTATGGATGGAACAGCACCGCTTCTGCGGTTAGAGGGCGCAGTAGACACTGAGTCCCATTCACTGAAGCAGTTAGGGAACCCGCCATGCGGGCAGGTGACGGCCCATCATCCCCTGTCATCTGTTTGGCATCCCAGAAGACTTGTGTTTGGGGCCGAAAAGAGGAGTTCGGTGAAAAGAGCAGTTTTTTCAGACTTCCTTTTTCCTTGTCCCCTTTTGCAGATGGCCCTGTGTCGGAAGTGCCCCCAGAGGGTGAAGAGATCTTTTGCTGACGCCTTCCCTCCTCTGGCCGTGGCACCAGCCCCGCTGCCCTGCCGTCCCTGCGTGCCCACTCTCTTACGCGGACACCCGTGCCCGTCAAGCGTCCGCTCTGTGCTGTGCCAGCTCCTGGGCCAGACGAACAAATGGTCCCGAGCGCCAGGGTGGGTAAGGAGGCCCCGGATTGGTGACTGCTGATGACTTGGGGGTCGGGGCCGGCCCCACTGAGGGTGTCACACTGAAAGTGGTGGCCCCAGAAGCCCAGGCAATGATTTTGGACAAGTCAGGAATTCCTGAAAGCTGAAAGCATGTTTCCAAGTGAGGTATGAGACGCTGGCTGCCTTTCATTTGGGGGAACACCACCCAGAATCCTACGGCAGGTAGTTTGGACTCTGTGGGGGTACATATACAGTAACCCATCTGCACAGCCACGTGGGGTACGGCAGAGTTATGCAGTGTGTCCCAGACGCCTGGTCAGCTGAGCTCGGCACAGGAGGCACCGCCTGGCCCTGCTCGGATGGCATCTCACCTGCTAGGCCTCACCCCTCTCTGCGCACATCCCTTCCCTCCCCATCCACACCTCACCCCTTTTTTGCATGTATCTCATTTCATTTTAGAAGGGATGACAAACATTTGTAAAAACCAGTGAGGGAAAGCTTTAAAAAGCATACGATCTGCACCACCTTGATTTTGGTGTTTGTCACACGCACACACACAAAATCTAATTTAATTGTTCAATCCCAGAAGAAATCCTATGGTGACTTTCTAAGATGCGTGCCCGCATATTCTGGGCACAGGTGAAGTAGAAAGGCCTCCTCACTGTGACCCCTGCCACGTGACACTTTTTGGTTGTCACTGACCATTCAGAAGTGGCCACAGCCTCCTGGCAATATTCCTGAGACCTCATGGTGGCTCTCCAAGGGAAGCAGCTCCTGCCTGGCCCTCCCTGTGGGGCCCGCGGGCACCATCCACAGCACCACTAGGGCCACCTGCTTTCCCTGCAGCGACATTGTCCCCACCCCTGTACTAACTAGGACACCTGGCCGAGCAGCAGATGGAGGCGAAGGTGTTAACAGGCGAGAGAAAAGGCAGCCCAGATAGGCGCAGCTTGGGGAGGTTCTCATTCTGTCAGGAGGCGTCGGCAAAATTTAGGCAAAATTTAATTTCTTAAACGTTTTTGAAAACCTAAAGGTCTGTTGGTTATTGTCCTCTACCCCCTGAAGATGCCTCAGATGCCATTTTATGTTCATTTTCTTCTCTCTCTTCTTTTTCCTACTGTGTTGTGATCTGTATTTGCTCGCAGCCTGTTGCCAGCTGGTAGGTACGAACGGTTCACGAGTGGCGGGTCCCTCCGAGGCCCACACACCTGCCACCCTGGCTGCTCCCTGTGAGGGGAGACCCTGGGTAATTCTATGCTTTACATGTGGCCTTCGATTCCTGCTTTTTGCCACTCGGGAGCATGGGTCTTTGAACATACTTCTTAAAAAAACAAAAAAAGCTGTAACTTGGTGCTTGTTGATGAATTGCAAGCTGGCCTTGCGCGTGGAGATATTTATCTTTCAGTTTATTTGAAAGAGGCCTGGTGTAACATTGTTAGCTTAGATTTGTTTTATTTATTGTAAGTGTGTGCGTGTGTGTGTGTGTGTGAGAGAGAGAGAGAGAGAGAGAGAGAGAGAGAACATACCAGCCCAAACGGTTTCAACCACCTGATCCCTGCAGAGTCAACAGCCAGCCGCTGCTCTGTTTGTCAAAGTGCCTTGAAGGCCCAAACGAAGTTAAGGCTGGAGTAGGGGTCCCTTTCGTTCCCTCCTCCCACCCCACCTCATTCTTTGATGAAGGGATGTCTCACTTGAGAGTTAAGCAGCTTGCCACCTGTGAGCAATATTTGCCTGTTTTTGTCACGGTGATGTCTTACCCTTCAGTAATAGACTTTAGAAACAGAACAAGCTGGTTTTCTGTTGAAACCGTGATATGCCCCCCTCCCTAACTCCCAAAGACCCTAAACAGCGAAAAAGCTAAGTTGCTTCCTTCAACTGATCCCCCAGCAGCTCCATCCTGGCTTTTCTCAGAGCCATGTGGCGCTCAGCTGTGTGTCCTATTACTTGCTTAAGTTACCCCGAGACTTGACGTCCCCCTGAGAAGCGCTCTGCTAGAAAGGAAGGCCCTGGCGAATGCAGACCCGCGTCCTTCCTGCTCTGGGCCCATGTGAGCCAGGCTGCCCTGTGCTCTGCGCTTGGAACAGGGAGGGCTTCGTGCCAACGAGATTTACTGTCACATATGCTCGTCACAGAAGCGCCGTGGACACAGATCTGTACTTGGCTGCACAGCTAGATTTCAGTTTCAAAGTGTCTGTTACTCCCAACTATAATATTTAAGTTGCTTTGGTGGTCTTGGTGGCAGCTTCTATAAATGGAGATTTCGCCCACACCCACTTAGATTTGGTCAGCTTGTGGTTGGACAGGTTTAGACTCAGAATCAGGAAGTAGGCTCCTGCTTTGCCCAAGCCGCCCACTGCCCCCCAGAACGCCGTCTGCAGGCCGAGGAGAGCCGCTTCCCAGGCCGTGCTTCTCTGCACCTCTCGTCATCTCCCAATTTGGGAACTGAACTCTGGGCTGTCACTGCTGTGCTTGGGGCGCTCCCTGGATTGTTCCTGCCGTGCTTGTGACCTTGACAACTGCCTGGCCGCTGAGTCAGCCCTGTCTGGGTGTCTGTCCTGTAAGAAGGGGCTGTCTTCCAGGGTGGCTCAGATTCAATTCCCCGTGGGGTCCCCACACCAGGAAGCCATGCTTCGCCATCACGCTCAAGAAATCTGATGCCCCGCATTGTTTCAGTTTTGTGGGGACCGATGGAGATACCATCCAGAGTCCCCAGGTTTCTGTATCTTCTCCCCATTGTATCATCTCAGTAGTTGTCCTCCTAATTGGGTGGCTTGTGCACTTTACATGCTGTCATCGGCTGGCTTCAGTTTTTGTGACAATCAACTATGTCAACTGTTTGCTTCTTTATAAATGGAAAGGGTGACAAAACATGCAAATTGACCCACATTCAGCCTCGGCCAACAGTCCATCCTCGACCCCAGTGAAAGATCTCTGTGGGCAAGAAATCCATAGCAAGATATTTTTTGAGAAGGTACGAAACTTACCTTTTTTCCTCTTAAGTCTCAGGGGAATACCACTGAAAGCTGTCCTCTTGCTCCCTTATTTGTCACCCTCCCAAGCCCCTGGCCCTAGCAGTAGTGAGCACAAAAGTTTTAGACCCTTGGGGTTTGTTGGACCTTTATGCGGGGGAGGGGTACAGCGTGTAGGGGCTCAGAAAATAGGCTTCACCTTAAATACAAGGCAGAACCGTATCTATAACCTTAGAAGCCAGAGCTTGATCTGGGAATTGCTGTTCACGGAGGTACTTGGTGTTCCATCCTTTTGTCTCTGAGGTTCTTTTTCTAAAGTCTGTTCTTTCTCCCCAAGGATGTTGGCATTGGCATGGGAGCAGCAGCTTACTCCGGTGTTGATGGGTAGCCACTTGTGCCCAGAGGACAGCCAAGCCCTAGGAGGGGGATTAGAGAGACGGTCCTGGTGAGCGGGCTCCAGGGGCCAGAAAGAGGGTTATTTGGAGGGGACACGACCAAAGGGCATCGACCCCCTTGGAACGTGGAAGCCCAGAAATAACCCTATAGATGAACCTGTGCAGAGGTGAGAGAGAGGTGTGCGCCCCGCCTTCCTTCAGCAGGACTGTTCTAACACACGACTGGGGGTTCGGGTCCCAACCCAGCGCTGTTGCTCTTAATATACCCCCCCGAGACAAGGAAAAAGGGCAGAGTCTGTGTCGGTTTGGCTCTCCCTGTTTCTTTCAGGGCAGCATAACATTCCCAGTTAAGCAGAGCTTTGGAATCTGCCTGCTGGCCAGGTGTGAAAAGGGAAAGCATTTTAATGTTACCAAAAAAAGGGGGTGGGGGGTGGGGAGACAAAACAAGGGCTTCTTTCCATATCCTTATCTAATTTAATTTGTCAAAGGACAGGCCTTATTTCTCCATCTTGTCAAAAGATGGACAGGCCTTGAGTTATTTCTCCATCTCGCTAAGGTTTAAAGATGTACAAACCCAACTGGTGGGTCTCTGCTGCCACAGGCCATGCCGACCTGCTCCACACACCCTCTCTGAGCCCTGCGGGGGGTGGGGGGCTCACTGCCTCTGTGCCCCCCAGGGCTTCACCCCTCTTGAATTCCTCCTTTTGCAGCCTCCTGACAGGATGGGTCGCGCGAGCTCACTGACGGGGCCCTGCCCTGTGGTCACGGTTCGGCCTGTGGTTTCCTACGTGTCACTGACCCCATGGGGGGAGGGGCGCGGGGAGCCAGCAGGACCGACAGGAGGGTGATTCTGTACCTCATAACCTCTGCTTTCATTCATTTTCTCAAACGCTGTATGAATATTTCTGTGCTAAATCTTATTAAATAAAATGGGGGTTAAACCCCAGATGCTGTACATTGATTTGTAATTATGTATAAAGTAAAGCAGTTTCGAACTGTAAAGATTTTTTTCAGTGTGTTTTCTGGAAATTTTCCCACAACATACTGGCTTTGTATTTTATTTATCTTCCTGTCTAGTTATTGGTTTCAGATTCTTGTAAAGTCCCCCTCGACCCTTCCAAAAAAATAAATGTTCTTTACATCTTGATTGTGGCTGTGATGTGTCCCATGTGTTCCTGTCCCTGTGGGCTTCTTGGGGAGCCCCAGGATACTCTGGGTTCCTGGTAAAGGGGGTCCCCCCTCCCTAAGGACCGCCTTCTCCCCAGTGAAGCCTTATTTCTGTACTTTTGGGGATGGGAATCCGGAGGAAATCCTGAAGCTCTAAGCAGCTACGTGGGCAACTCCCACACTTTCCTGCAGCCGGGACCCAAAACCCGGGGTGCCAAGAGTCAATCTATTTCCAGTGAAACCAGTGAACTGAAAAAATAAAAAACATCCTTTGCCATAGACACAACTATGTAGGAAGATTAGTTTGCCTTCCTTTAGTTTGCCAACTTTCTTCACACCATCCTACCCCCAAAGAAAGGCAATTGCCAAAAACGAATTCAGGAAGAAAAATCGTATTCGCATGGAGCTCCACAGGAAGTTTCAGGATCTGATGGCCAAATGCTGGGATCTCCACGGAGAAGTCGAAACGGGGCAGGAACTGCTGCTGATCCCACCTGTGGAGCCTCTGGCCCCTTTTCTACACTGCAGGCTGCCTCCAATGGGCGTCTGAGCCTGCTGTACCTATAAAAGCCCCGAGTCCCCCGGCCCCTGCGGACTGGGCCACATGGTGCCACGCAAAGCGGCCCGGGTTCCTGGCTCTGCCACTTGCAAGCTCCCCACTCAACAACGGGAAAGAAGCAAGTCCTGCCGGCGTGCCAAGTCTCTCCTTCAGCGAACTTGGAAGTGGACCAATTTCTTAAAGAGTCTTTTGTAGCCTTGGCAATCGCTGCCTCCCCACAAGCCAGTGGAACACTGGTCCCTTCTCACTGGCTCACGGCCCTCGGATGTCACTGCAGCTCCAGCAGGCCCCTGCCCCACGGAACAGGCGTTCCACGGAGACACGCTCAGCAGGGCCAGCAGAGCGGTTCCCATGGCTTCCCACTGTGGTTGGGTCGGAGCCAGGAGCAGGCTCTGCCCGGGAGGCAACAGGACGGAGGAAGCTCCACCATCCTTCCAGAAGAGCAGCAGAGGCACAAAGCGCTCAGGGGTCCAAGGATGCTGGACCGCCGGTCATTCGACAGAGCAGTGGGCCTTCGCCTGCTCCTGAGGGAACCGGCTGTGCCCTTTGCCACAGTGCAAACCTGGCCACCGCGTGGCTTAAATGAAAGCAGTGTTTTCTGTTTGCGGATCCCATGTCGGAGACAGAGCCCTGCCATGTGGGAGGCCGGCCCCTACGAACTGCTTTGCGATGGAGTTTGCATCAGAGGCTCAGCCTGACAGTGCGGTAACTAATGCCACAGGACAGACATCCAAGAACATTGGAGCTTGCAGAGGAAGGGAAAAAAAACGCAGTGTACACATTTTGGTTTTTCCCTTGGAAGCAGTAACAGGCAGAATCGACCCGGACTGAGCTGCACAGCATCAGAAATAAAATCAGGAACTGCTGTCCCTGGGGGACCAGTCACCTCGTCCCCAGAGCGGCCTTAGGTCCTGGGTGCCACCTCCACGGGGAGAAGCACCTCTGACAGTTCCTGTTCTTAGATTCTTAGGCAGTTCCTTTTTCCTTCAAATTGCCCCCTTGTTTTCAGGGGCCTCAGGTCACCCAGAGGGGGGTGAGGCCATGCAGTGGGTACCACCCTGCCACCCCTGTGGGTGTCCTGAGAGGCGGTGCAGTGGGAAAGGGGGTCAGGGCTTCCGGAGGTGTTGGTGTGTGCCCCAGATTCGGGGATGTGGACTGCCCGGCCACACCGCCCTCCCCACCCCCACCGGGCCCCAAGTCTCCAGCTGCTTTTGGTATCCAAGTTACAGCCTGGCCCGTCCCCAGGCCACTTTCTGGGCTAATTGCTGCTGCACACAGCTAGAAATAGTCCCCTCTGAAGTTTGGGCTGCTCTTCCCTCCTGGCGTCTTTGTAAAACTTTCCTTCCTGGGCAACAGTATCTGTGATGGGGGCTGGGTGGGGAGAGAAACCCCTGGAGGGCCTGGTGGGAGAGCTGCTGTGGGGGGGGGGGGGGAGTGACTTAAACTGGCTCCTGGGAACAGACCAGCTGACAGCCAGGCCTGCTTTGCTCTCCCTTTGAGGGTCCAGGAACTTCCCACCCCACCCCCAGCCTGGGAGTTGGAGCTGGGCGGTTGCCTGGACAACGTCATTCTTCCCAGCCTGGCCACGTGAATAATGCTCCCTGCAAAGCCAGGAGCCTGGCTGGCGGTGAGAAGGAGCTTGGGAGTGGGCCAGGCCAGGGTCCCACTCCGTGGCGGGTGCTGGGGACCAGAACTGGGAGACCACTGGAGGCAGCCAGTCTCTTGAGAAAAGTATCCAAATCAGGAACCCAAAGTGAGTGTCCTAAGATGTAGCCTTTCCAAGCAGGAGCGGAGGTCCTCAGATTGCAGTAACCGTGTCCCCAGGGTGGCTCGTGACATGACAATTCAGCCCGGGAAGGAGGAGGACGCTCGCGTGCCAACAGGGCAACCATGGCCTGGATGCTGCAACGCTCGGTCGGCTCTGGGCTTCCTGGCAGCCAGGGCTAAAAGGAAAATACGTATTTCTAGTGGGGTTTCCTCTCACTCCCCCAGAAAATCTGCAATGCTTTCTCTTTCTAGTTGTTTCTAGCAGATTATTCAGTTGGACACTTAACATGATGAGGCAAAGGAAATGGATATGGTTGAAGGAAGTCTAGTAACTTCTTTATGTACCCGAGTAGTAAAGGGACCTTCCCAAGGTAAGCTGCCATGTACAAGGAGAGCTGGACTCTGGGCCCCAGCTGACCTGACTCCCAGAGTGTCCCCACCACCCTGCACTGTGCACCTGAGGGCTCAGCTGGCGGGGATCCCACACGTCGTCTCCGAAGGCCTGACCTGGACCCCAGAGCACTGCTCAGACTCCTGGGAGGAGAGGGACATGGCAGCAGCGACAGTGCCGGCCTGCACGGAGTATCAGTGGGGATTAGAAAAGGCAGCCCTACTGTGTGTCTTGAGTTTGCAGCATCATAAACGAGCATCATAGGGGCTGCTGTGACAGCTGATGCTGACGGGAGCCGTTACGCCCACCTCAACGCACTTATGTTCTTTTCACCCAAAATGAGGGTCAGCTCGGGGCTCCCAGCATGTAAACGGGCACGTGGAGACGAATGGAAGTACATTTTCAGCGGAGAGCTCACCACATGGGTTTCCAGGAAACACTCAGAAGAAAGGGAAACACTAAGATTCTGCAGGAGAACCAGCTGAAAGGTTGCTGCTGCTGCTGAAATACGCTGAGAAGAGGGGAGCCTTCTCATCTAGATGCCTGCAGGTCCTGGAGTGTCCCCCACCCCCCCAACTCTCAGGAGAAGGACCCTGAGCCCTGGCTGGCAGGACCAAGAGGAAAGTCGGCCCACAACTGCATACCCCACGACAGGCCCCAGCGCCCAAGGAAAACCAGAGTGCTCTCAAGTCTTGTATTAAATTAGAAACGGATAAAGGCAGCACAACTTGGGGGAGAGCACCATGAGGTCCTTTGTGCTGTGGGAAGTGTGCTTAGCTCAGCGCAGCCACCCCACGGGGTCAGGGGCCCCTCCAGACCAGGGTGAGCTGCTTCCCTACCCTAGCACAGCCATTTCTTGGGACGAGACAGCCCTGCGGCTGCAGGGCAGCTGGGATGGAACACAGAACAGAGGACGCAGGCCTCTGACCTGAGAGATGCACCTTCCGCTGTCAGAACTGTCCCCGGCGGCAGTGCTGCCCGATGGCGGGTGCTCATCAGGGGGTGAACCTGGCCCAAAGGCCCATGTCCTCAGGAGAAGCCTACAGGACGAGCGCCCACACGAGGTCCCGTGAGGGGCAGGGCTGAATGATGGAAAGCTAGTAATGTAATGTGGCTCTAACTCCATAAACAGCACAGCCATGAGCCAGGCAGCACTGCGCACAGTGCAGGTGGCCTGGGAGCCACAGGTGTTGGTCAAGAGCCCCCTCCCGCTCCAGCGGCACACCACGGCGAGCAAGGAGTGAGCCAGACACGCGAACACTGGGTGTCAGGGTGGCCACGGGCAGGAGCTGACTCTACAGAACCCCAGATGCTGGGGATAAGCTGAGAAGGGACCCACAGGAGACTCAGGAGGCGAGAAAAATGCACAAAAATGTCTTGTCTGGCAGTTCTCTTGGACTTCGTGAGCTCGGGGGGCAAACGGGCCAGATCCAGTTACCAACTGAAAGGCCAAGAGGCCAGAGGCCCGGGGGTGCTGGGTGGGGTCATGGGTGGTGGCCTGCAGGCTGAGATGCGTCCAGCCCCAGAGGGACCTGCAGTGGGCGCCCCGGAGTCCCCCGGGGTCCCCAGCTCCCATGTGCTCCTCGTCTTGAAGGGGAGGGCCACATCTGAAGGCCAGTGTGGTCCCATCAGGAGATGGGGTCACTGCTGCCTCTTGTGGGCTCTGAGGAGAGGGGGCTACGGGGCAGCCCCCAAGGGCACCCCTTTGTCTAGGAGCTTGTGTCCCGGGGCCCTGGGTCCTGCTGTGTGACTGGGCAGGAGGACCCGTGTCTGCACCTGGGCACAGCATCCTGGGCCATACCCAGCCTGACTGGGAGGTGACAAGGTCACCGAGGGCAAGGCCCAACTCTGGGGAGTGGCCCAGAGATTTCCTCTAATCCTGGGGGTCTGGGTGTCATCTTCTAATGAAGCCTCGTGTATGTCACGAGATCACCCTACAGGTTTCTGCCCCTTATAAAATGTGTTCTGTTTTCTCCCTGGCACCCTCTGCTCTCAGTGGCGACGGACCCCGTATCCCTGTGGTCTGGGATGTCCTCCGTGGGGCGACATGACAATACTGACAGAGAAGCCCTGAGTCAAAGGCTGTGCCATCAGTGCTGGTGCTGCCCACCCCTCCAGTCCCGGCTCAGGACTTGCTGAAACCAGTGACCTCAAAGCTCTGCAAATGTGTCCTTCTTCCGGAGTCTGAGAGAGTCCTGGTCAGTCCACGCCCCTCTGAAAGGTCCTGTCCTGGGGCCGCAAACCACTGCAAAGAAAGATGCTTGGGCGGACACAGCGCTGAGACAGCTCCTCTGCTCTTCTCTTGTCTAAAACTCAGACCGGCCCCCAAGTCCGCGGCTCCCAGAGCTGGCAGGGTCGGCTGCCGGCCATTCAGGGCTGGGCCGGGGCCGGTGGAACGTCCCACAGTGGGTGAGGGCCACTGCGACAGTGGGGCTGCAGCCGTGGGGCGGGAAGAAGCATGCAGAGCCTGCGGAGGGACAGAAGAGAGTCACACCCGCACTGACACAGAGGTCGTCTCCCTGCACTCCCAAGGAAGGTCTCACGCCGACTCCACCTGGCAGGGGAGCCCTCTGCACACCAGGCCGAGCTCTCAGTACACGTGCCTCTCCATCCATCCAGGAGGCAAAGAGGCAACACAATCCCAGGGTTGCCTGGTCCCAGAGCCCTGGCACCCGCCTCACCCTGCAGCCCTTCTGTTTCTCACAGAACTACCTGGAGTGTGTGTGTGTGGGGGGTGCGTCTCACCCTGACTGCACACTGGACTCCCCGGGGCTCCAGGGGCCCTGCCTCGGTTGGCCTTAGGGTGTGGCCTGGGCTTTAGCATTTGGTAAAGAACGTACCCTTGTCCAAACAGAGATCTGGCCTTTGCCCCGGCTTCTAGGAGGTGATGTGTGTCACACCTGATAGTATGTTTGCTCAGGGTAGGGGCGGGGACATACGTGTGCCCTAGGGCTGGGGTTCTGGGTCATGCTGTACTGGTTGATGTGGAGACTGAGAGTAACCACGTGGGCGATCAAGCGCTCACACCTGTGTGCTGGGCCTGGACAGAAAGGCTGGGCATGGAGGCCTGAGAGAGCTCCCTGCTTGGCAATATTCTGTGCATTTCGTCACTCACTGGTGCTGGGAGAGTGATACTGTTGACGCCACAGGGAGAGGACACGAATGCTTTGCACTTGGGACTTCCCCGTCCCCCGCCAAAAAAAATCTGGCTGATCTTAATCTGCACCCTTTTCCTGAAAGGGACTATAACTGTGAAGCTAACAGCCGCAGGGCATTCTGGGAGGCCTTCCAGTGAGGCCTGAATCAGGGTGGTTCTGGGAGGCCCCTACGACTGCTGTCAGCCTCAGAAGTGACGACACTGTTGCATGGAGATTGTGCCTTCAGACTTTGCAGGTTGGCCCAAACTCCACAGAGAATTGTCAAAAGCCAGTTTTGATGTGCGGCCATGTCTGGGGACCCTCGCACCAATCTAAGGCTGTATCCCCATGTGGCAGAGGGGCTACCTGCTTTGTTCAAGGTCAACTGCAAGTCAGGGGCAGAGCCAGGCTTTGGCCCCTGAGCTGAAAAAGGGTCCCAGGGCCCCCCAGTCACCTGCTGTCCCCTCCGGCCTCCCCTGGAAGGCACAGTGACCTTTTTCCCGGAGTGGGCACAGGCGCGGGGCGCCGGGGGCTCACCTGGCTCTGCAGGCGTGCCTCACGCGGGCAGGTGCTTCCAGGTGCTGACGAAGGCCGTGGGGATGAGCGAGTAGGGCACGGTGGTGACGCAGCTCCACGTGTCCGCGGTGGGGTCGTAGCAATCCAGGGTCTTGCACCTCTGGGTCCCGAAGTAGCCCCCCACCACGTAGAGCTTGTTGCCCGAGGCCAGGGCGTGGCAGGACATGCGCTTGGCGGTCATGTCCCCGATCCGCGTCCACTGGTTGGTCTCGCAGTCGAAGCGGTAGGCGGAGGCGGCCGTGAACTCCGTGTCCCCGCCCATGATGAAGATCTGGCTGCCCAGCACGGCAGCGGCCGTGTAGCGCCAGGGCTGCGGGCACTCGGCCTTGATGGTCCAGCGGTTCTCCGAGGGGTCGTAGCACTGGACCTTGGACACCATGTCCCGGTGGATGCTGGTGCCTCCGAACACGAAGAGCTTCAGCTTGGCGCTCACCACCGCCGCGTTGCTGACGCCGTCCCTCAGCGGGGCCACCATCGTCCACTTGTTGGCCCCGGGGTCGTACTTCTCCACCTGCTTCAGGGAGACGGAGGGGGACGCCGGGAAGACGCCCGCCAGGGACGTGTGGCCCCCGACCACGTAGAGGCAGTGCTCCAGCTCGGCCGAGCCGTGGCCGAAGCGGGCGATCAGCATGGGCGCCGCCTTGGCCCACTCCTCGTGGACCGTGTCGTACACCCACACGTCCTTGGAGACGCCGTTCTCGGAGCCCCGGCCGCCGGTCACATAGACCTTGCAGCCGATGGCCGAGGCGCTGAACTCCTTCCGCGGGCTGGGCAGGTCCGCCTTGGGGATGATCTCCTTGGCCTTGTGGTCCACCTGGTAGATCTTGTCGCACATGAAGGTCTGGCCGCCCAGGATGAGCAGCGTGTGGCCCGCCTTGCGCGGCCGGGCGCACGGGCTGGTGACCACGCCATCGTTCTGCAGGATCTTGGTCTTGCAGCGGAGCGCCTCGTCTATGATGAGCCTGGTGCGCTCGTCTGCCATGAGCAGCGCCTCGCCGGACGCGGCCTCCTTCAGGCAGTCGGCCGGCAGCAGGGCCAGCCGCACGCGCCGGAGCAGCTCGGGCAGGTGGGCCTTGCGCCCCTCCAGGTCATGCTTCACCCACTGGAGGATGGCCTCGAAGACCACGCGCTCGTCCTCGGTCTCCAGCTCGTCGCTGGAGACGAGGTCCAGCAGCGTGTCCTTGGACAGGCTGTTGAAGTCCTCGCTCTGCCGCACCGTCTCGAAGTGCACCAGGCACATGCGCCAGGAGAAGTCGTACAGCCGGCGGCACTGGTGCGCGTCCGACAGCAGCATCATGCCCAGGCAGTTGGACGGGAAGAGGTTCTTCTCCAGGAACTCGGCGGCCGCGTCCCGCACGTCGTGGAACTGCAGCATGTCGCCCGCCTCCAGCAGCGACTCCGCGTTCTCCTCATTGATGACGATGCGGGACGAGTAGGCGAAGTCCAGCAGCAGCTCCAGCACCTCGGGGTGCAGGTTGTCCTGGAAGTTGACCGTGTCGTCCCGGCTCTCCCGCAGGCCGTGGCTGAACATGGCCTCGAAGTAGCGGCTGGAGGCGGCGAGCACGGCGCGGTGGCACGGGAAGGCGCGGTCGCCGGCCCAGAGCGTCACGTCGGTGAACATGCGGTGCTTCCGCAGCGTGTTGAGGTGCGCCAGCACGCAGTCGGGGTGCGACGCCTTGTGGAAGAGCTTGATGTTCATGGACCCCGTGCTGCTCCGCGACTTGCGGGTCTCGTGGACGCTGACTGACATGCTGAGCCGACCTGCGGGGGGACCAGGCCACAGGTGAGAGGGGGCGCGCTCCTGAGGCAACGATCTGGGGACACGCAGGCCCTGCCTCCCGGCCCCGCCCCTCCCACCCCTCTGCTCAGCTGGGCCCCTCGTGTCCACCTGCTACCCGGCGGCAGAGGCTGGCTTTCACCCCGGCCCTTTGGAAACCGGCTTCGTTCTCCTGCGCTGGGATCTGCTCTGCAACCAAACGTCTGTGGCCCGGATATGAGCCGCCCCTGGGCGAGTTCAAGCTGCACTGCCTCCAGAGGTTAGGAGAACGCACAAACGATGTCACTAGCCTGATTACACCGGCGGCACTAAGTAAGTAGTATGGCCCGTTTCAACCGCATTCCAGCCCCTGGGGGACGCTGCTCTTGTTGCCCCATTCCACATCGAGGGAACCCAAGGCTCAGAGAGGCACAGTGGCTGCCCCAAGTGCCAGGACAGGATCCCCGTGTGGGCTGTCCAGTTTTAGGCCCAGCCTCTACCCTCCGCTGGTCCAAGGAGACTCTGATTCCTGCCGGGAGACTTGAAACTGCGTTCCTAAGGACCAGCACAGCCCAAGCATAGCCTTACACCCTTGTGCTCCCAATGGGCCCTGTCATGAGCTAGGCTCCAGCGTGCTGCCCAGGCCCCCCGCACCCCTCTTTCATTGGAAAGATCCCCAAGAGCTGCTGTCACAGCCCAAGTGCTCAGTGTAGACACGCTGTCAACATCCAGGGGTCTCCGAGGCCTCTTGACCCAGCTGGGATGAATGAGGCCGTGGAGCTGAGGCCGGGTGACCCGAGGCTCACCCACAAGACACCTGCTCAGTTGCAAGGTCCCAAGAGAAGCCAAGAGAAAGCAGAACAAGCTGAACAATTAAGCAATCCAGGTTCCACCTCAGCCAAAGCAGCAGCGAACCTGCGGCCATTGACCGGAGCCTCCCCGGTCCTGACAGGCGACTCTAGGCTCCTGGGCACAGCCCAGCACCTCCCCTGCCCGGCCTGGGACGGNTTGTGGAAGAGCTTGATGTTCATGGACCCCGTGCTGCTCCGCGACTTGCGGGTCTCGTGGACGCTGACTGACATGCTGAGCCGACCTGCGGGGGGTTTCTTTCATTGTTTCATTCATGTAGTTATTGAAAAGCTAGTACATTCCTGTAGTTCAAAGACACACCCGGCCCCGCCCCTCCCACCCCTCTGCTCAGCTGGGCCCCTTGTGTCCACCTGCTACCCAGCGACAGAGGCTGGCTTTCACCCCCGCCCTTTGGAAACCGGCTTTGTTCTCCTGCGTTTGGATCTGCTCTGCAACCAAACGTCTGTGGCCCGGATATGAGCCGCCCCTGGGCGAGTTCAAGCTGCACTGCCTCCAGAGGTTAGGAGAACGCGCAAACGATGTCACTAGCCTGATTAAACCGGCGGCACTAAGTAAGTAGTATGGCCCATTTCAACCGCATTCCAGCCCCTGGGGGACGCTGCTCTTGTTGCCCCATTCCACATCGAGGGAACCCAAGGTTCAGAGAGGCACAGTGGCTGCCCCAAGTGCCAGGACAGGATCCCCGTGTGGGCTGTCCAGTTCCAGGCCCAGCCTCTACCCTCCGCTGGTCCAAGGAGACTCTGATTCCTGCCGGGAGACTTGAAACTGCGTTCCCAAGGACCAGCACAGCCCAAGCACAGCCTTACACCCTTGTGCTCCCAATGGGCCCTGTCCTGAGCTAGGCTCCAGCGTGCTGCCCAGGCCCCCCGCACCCCTCTTTCACTGGAAAGATCCCCAAGAGCTGCTGTCACAGCCCAAGCGCTCAGTGTAGACACGCTGTCAACATCCAGGGGTCTCCGAGGCCTCTTGACCCAGCTGGGATGAATGAGGCTGTGGAGCTGAGGCCAGGTGACCAGAGGCTCACCCACAACACACCTGCTCAGTTGCAAGGTCCCAAGAGAAGCCAAGAGAAAGCAGAACAAGCTGAACAGTTACGCAATCCAGGTTCCACCTCAGCCAAAGCAGCAGCCAACCTGCGGCCATTGACCGGAGCCTCCCCGGTCCTGACAGGCGACTCTAGGCTCCTGGGCACAGCCCAGCACCTCCCCTGCCCGGCCTGGGACGGGGCTCAGAGTGCTGGTCCCTGCGAGCAGACAAGACACAGGCTCGTCACCCACTTCAATATGGGGCATTCCCAAGTACCTCAAAGTCAGACCCATGGCACAACCCACTGCACTGTGTGGAAATAAGGCTCAGCTAACAGGCAGGCAAAATCACGTTTCGAGACAGTGGCCAAAAAGCAAACTGAATTCAGTGTCCTGACCCCAAGAGTCTGTGCTGCGCTGCTTTCCTCTTGCTGGTAATGAGGCAGCAACAACAACAAAAAACTCCAAAAAAACTCTTTCACTTTTAATTTTCAAAAATATATGACTCCCCCTCCTCACTCCAGGTCTGTTTTCTACTTGAGCAACAATCTGGTAAAGGAAGGAAGCGATTTCATGATTCAGCGAAATTGCACAGGAGAGTCCAAGCGCACTGCTTGCGCGCTCTCTTGCTCCCTCGCTCGCTCACTCCTTCCCTGGCAAAGAACCAGAGAAGACACCAGCTGACGTGATCAGAGCTGCCCCCATGTGGCAGAGGGGCTACCTGCTTTGTTCA